TTTAAGTTTTCAACCAATAATGTAAAAATAAGTACCTTAAAAACCGACCCTTGGGAGAAAATACAAATCATATGTCTCATAAGGGGTTAATATCCAGAATACATAAAGAATTCCTACAACTCAGCAACAAAAAAGTAAATAACTCAATCAAAAGACAGGCAAAGAACCTGAATAGACATCTAACGATGATTCACAAGTGACCAACAAGCACATGTAAAGATCTCAACTGCACTAATCATTAGAGAAATGCAAATCAAAACCCCAATGAAGTATCACCTCACAACCACGAGAATGGCAGCTGCCAGAAAACCAGAAAGTAACATGGCTGACAAGAATGCGGAGAAATCGGGACCCCTGAGCAGTGTTGAGGGGACTGTGAAATGGTGCAACTGCTAGGGAAAGCAACATGAAGGTTCCTCAAAAATTCAGACAGACAACTACCAGCAACCCCACTTCTGGGTATGTAACCAGAAGAACTGAAAGTGGCGTTGTGGAAAGATATTTGTACAACCATGTTCATAACAGTGCTGTTCACAAGAGCCAAGAGGTGGAGTCACCCTAAATGTCCATCAATGGATGAATGGACAAAAAACGTGGTGTATATACATACAGTGGAATATTATTCAGCCTTAAAAAGGAAGGGAATTCTGACACCTGCTACAACACACATGAACCTTGAGGACACTATGCTACCTGAGACAAGTCAGTCACAAAAAGACAAATACTGTGTGATTCCATGTACAGAGGTATCTAAAGCAGTCAAATTCATAGAAACAAAAAGTAAAATGATTACTGGGGGTGGGGTGGGGGGAGGTGGTGGAAGAAGAAAGTAGTTTCATGGGCGTAGAGTTTCAGTTTTGCAAAACGAAACAGTTCTGGAGATCCGTTTTACAACAATGTGAATATACTTAGCACTATTGAACTGTACACTTAAAAATGGTTAAAATGGTAAATTCTATGGTTTTTAACCACAATAAAAAAATTCATTAAAAAAGTAACTTAGGATAGATTGTCACTGGTAACCAACTGGATGGCAAACAGGCTGCTTTACTGTTTTCTATGGAATCCTTTGTCCAGAAAGGAGGAGGAAGAGGGAGAAGGAACTGAACTTGGAAATCTCTCACCCACTGTTATACTCTGCTGTGACCCTGCATGACAACCATGTATTTAAAATCATTTTGCTCATATCAGTGACCTTTGTTTCAGACGAGAGGGCTTTTCCTGAGCGTAATCCTTGTGGTTGTTACACTCCGGTTTTGCAGCTTCTTTGTCTTTGTCCACTCGATCTGGCACCAGATGGCCATGAGCTGTCTTCATGAGAACCTCGAAGTCCGAATCTGCATCATAATCCTCCAAGTCGTTCTTGGGCCCAAAGAGGCCGGCGCCCGGGATGCCGCCCGCCGCAGTCTTGGAGAACACCTCTGCGCACTCGACGGGCATGCTCAGGCGGTAGAACATGATGTCCGTGCTGCTGTTCTGGGAGCCGAATGACTTCTGAGTGACCTTTAAACACGGGGAGCTGTCTATGGTGCCATCTATCCTGGTCACCTAGCAAATGAGGATACCATCGTTCAAATCTAAGCACTGTCGATTCCTGATTCTGAAACCCCTAACGTGCATCACCTCTTGAAGAATCCAAACATGGCCCACCCGTGGCACAATTTCGTAAATGAGATAATTAAGCATAAGGATTACTATGTCCCAGATACACTCAGAGCCTCTGCTTCTAACTCAGAAGATGGTCTGGGAAATTCATATTATAACCGCATAAATTCAAAGCGAACCTGACATTCTATACACACACACACACACACACACACACACACATATGTGTGTGTATGTATATGTATATATATATAAACAATTAAGTACAGTTGACCCTTGAACCGTGTAGGTTTGAACTGTGCGGATCCACTTACACACAGGGATTTTCAGTACTAAATACTACAGCACTACATAAGCCATGACTGGCTGAATCCATGGATACAGAGGCCTATACATTATATGCAGATTAGCCCCAAAGTTGTTCAAGGTGAACTGCAGGTAATCAGCCTCATCAGCCTCTCATAAAGTACCTGTCCTGAGATTCCACCACAATGTGGCACACCAGAGCCATCATTTACGTGAGAGACAATAACTGTTAACAAGTAGGAACTCCCTCTTTTGGTTTTGGGCAACGGTCTGATTTTTAAAGAAAAAGCAAACCTCAATGTGTTCGTGGTTTGATGGAACCTGGAGAAACTGAGGGAGCCTCTTGCTCAGCCACATGGTAATATCCCTGTTTGTATTAACGGCAAATGGTTCATAGCCCTCCTGTAAGCCGCAGATGGTGAAGTATTTCAAGGTGCTGACATCCTTTCCGAAGTTCATCCTGCCCACTTGAGCCACTCCGAGGCTACACACTGGTATGAACCCTGGGAAGAAGAAAAAAAACCAGTATCATTAGCATAAGAGCCTTCTGGTACGGAATTATCAAAAGTGTTGCTCCAGAAGTCTTCCCTTTGTGAGAGCCGTCACCCTGAGGCAAAAGCAAGGATAAAGAGACCACTCACAGCAAGTACTCAACGCCAGGCTCAGAAGACCGGGATTTGCTCTTGGCATCAGAATCCATTAAATGTGGCCCAGGGGCCCCTTCTTTCCCCTTGGACTTCTGTGAGGTAGCTGCTAGGCAGCCCCTAGTCCTCCAGGGTCTCAGGGTGCACAGCCACAGGAGGAGGTCCCCACTCCGCAGCCTGCGCAGAAGTGCGCGTGCCTCTCTCGGAGGGGGAAAATGAGATAGAAGGAGGCTTGAAATTGCAAACACCAACACCGCTGAGTTAGCTTTCTTTGCATGTACCTCAAAGAAAAAATGATTGGAGGCAATATTTATAACGGTTTTAATTCACTTATAGTTGCTTTTGATCTTTGAAGAGAGTTTTGCTCTTTTCTCCCTGAGGTACCCTGCAGCTAAGCATTGAGAGAAAAAATTGAAATATTTGGAAGTCCTTGCCAACATCCCACTGAATCTCCTCCGTCTGTCCCTTCCCCTTCAATGTCACTGACACTACAGATTACGCAGGACAATGCACGATTAACATAAACAGTTAAGATGAAATCAAAGAGTAAGCTAAATAAGAAACTAAGTCAAAAGCAACAGCAATGAGCAATAAAGAAGAAACAAAATATTTCAGTGTGTAGCAGGGCTAGTTAACCTTTCCACTACTAAAGAACAAGAGGAAACTACATTCACTCTGTTAACTGTCTGGCAAGGGGATGAGATGGCATTTTGCAGCAGAGGGCGCGTCTATGTAATCTTCATTTCCTTCTATACTATTCTACAGGAAAGTTCAAGTATTCAATGCAATAACCAAGGTCAGTGTTGGAATGCAGACCACAAATCGGAGGATCTAACTTGTAGATTAAAAAAGCAATGGATCCTGAGAATAAGCTGACAAATTTCTCCCATTACGATTTCTATTTCTTCCACTGTTGAAATCACTGGCAGTAAAAGCAATGTATAACCCTCAAAACAGCACAAGACGATACAAATTACACCTGATAACTCATAATGGTCTCACGCAGCTCAGCTCGTGTCATCAGTATATATTTAAAGCAACAATTGCGTAACTATGCTACCAACCAGGAAGCAAGAACACATCCCGCCGGGTTCAAGGAAGCGCGAATGATGAGTTTCTAGTTAAAATGAAAAAGCCACAGCTGTGTCTGCAGCTGTGCCAGCTCTGGGCATAGCAGTCAAGGAAAGCTGTCTTAAGTGTCCCCAAAGGAATCAGAGAGAAGGACTGGAAAAACTTGACAGACCTGAGACAGCTGGAACTACATGTGCACAAACTGGCAAATGTAGCACTCATGTGACGCGAACTAGGGGATACCAAGATAGAAACATCTCCTCAGAGGCTAAACAGTTACTTCTTTTACCACTTTAGATGTAGAAGGAGTTCCTACCCTAACAGCAAACTTATTGGATCCCTAAAAAATCTCTACAGTAGACCTGTGGGTGTTTGTTATATTAATATCTGGAACTTTTCTGTATGTTTGATATATTTTCATCTAAAAAATCAAGTATTTAGTGTTGTGCACAAGATTTATGTCCTAAACTGTTCACTCTGGCTATGTTTACAATCACAGGATATTGTTGGGACAATAAATGTATGTTTTTCTGTTCCTTGAGATGGTATACTACTTAGCTTTTGAGAATCTGGCTTTCAAAGGTTCATTAATACATAGGAAAATATTGACAGTAAACATTATTTCAAGAAAGAAAGATGTAACATGGTTTATTTTTAAACATGTGAAAACACCAGAAGGTTTTTTTTAATCAAAAAAAGTTTCAGAGTAGTGGGATTTTTAATACTTTTTTCCTCTCTTTTTATGTCTCTCAAGCTAACAATTTTTCTCAACGAATGTTTATTTTATTATGAAAACAAGTGACAGTCTGTAAAAATACTCATTTAATAAGTTGGGATATACCTACATCTTTCTCAGATAGAAATGTGTAAGAGTGATGTGGATACAAAATGGTCCAGACCACAAGCTCTTCAAGTTGTGGAAGTTCTCGGCTAGTGAGTGTGCAGTAAGCTCGGGACCAGAAGTCTTGCTAATAAAATTAGCAAGGACTGAGGATGAGCAGTTAAGTCATATGCATTAAGACACTTTCAACTATTCATTTCTTTATCCAACAGATATTTAGAGAGCAGCTACTGTGTGCCAGACACCGGAGACACTGGGTGAGTAACACACAGACCTCAGCCAAGAGGTTCTCACAGTCTAACGAGCTGGGAAGACAACTGATAAAGTCATACCCAAGTCACCTACTGACCCATCTGAGAAAACAGAGTACCAAGAACAGAGGAAGAGCAGAGAGATGGGAGTGGGAAGATTCTGCAGAAGAAGAGGGCAGGCAGGTACTTCTACGAAACGCCCAAGGACAGAGAGTTTGAGATCCAAGAGACTGGATTCAAGTCTTAGCTCCGCCACTTTCTGGCAAGTCACTTAAATTCTCTAAGCTTTAATCCTTTCTTCTGTAATGTCTACTGCATGGAGCCATGGTTTTAAAAATGAGATCCTGTATATACAGTGCTTGACAGGGATGACTCACTAAACTAAATTTAAAACGGAAAAAAAGGTAAAAGAAATTAAATATCCAGAATAAGAGAATGGTTAATTATACATACACAAGGTTAAGTATGTGCAGGCATTAAAAATCATGTTTGGGGCTCACCAGAATAAACCTGTAGAGGGAGACAGAACTAATATGGTGAAATTTAAAAACTGGTGATTCCAGGTGAAGAGTATGCAGGTGTTCATGGTACTTTACTAGCACTTTTCTGAAAGGCTGATACTTCTCAAAATGTAAAATTGATACAAATATCAAAAGTTATGTTTAAAATGTTTTTATGACTTAAGACAACATAATACTAAGTTACAAAGATGGCAACAGAAAATTATCTCTACATCTCAATCCTTTAGATGAGAGAAAAACACATTAAAAGTCCAATTTTTCTCTGTGTAGTGGGAATATATATATAATTTCAATCAATTCACTATATTCTTGTATTATCCAAATGTTCAAAAAGAATTGCTTAGTTTTCTGAAAAATAATGGGTATAATTTTTCATTAGCTTACAGCCGTAGGTGGTATTCTCACTGCTTTATTGTTTTGGTGCCTTTCTAAAGGGAAGTATTTATGAAAGTACAATCATAAGTAGAAATTATGCTATTTTTTCTCTTGTTAATTTAAATGAAGCAGAATCCCCCCACATTAAACTGTGTTCTGACGTCTGGAAATGCAGCTTTCGTAGCTGCTATGATAATAACACAATGAACATTTCTGAAACCCATATTTTAAATGCGGGGGTCACAGTAGGGAGGACTAGATGGAGGCACAGAGCACACAGAGAAGAGGAACCGCCAGGTACTTTCCAGTCTACACGGGGAAGGCTGGGCCTCAGTCACCTCCACCTGGCCAGTGCCCTGCAAATACAGGTGCTGACAACAGGTGACATGCTGTCAAACACACAAGGCTCGTGACAGTAGCGAATGTCCTGAGTGTTTATCTGGGGCTTCATCTCACTGAACGTTAAGGACCGTTCATTGGGACAGGAATCAGCTATCTTTTTTCCAGTGAGTCAAGTCCAGTCTCAGCTTAAATTCCAGCTAAGTGGCCAGAAAAGAAAGCCGGGTCTGCAGATCTCAAGGTCCACGCTAAAGCCAGCCCTGTGTGTCACCAGAGAGTAGATTTTAGGCTTCCTGGACTGTGTCTAGGTCAAAACTGCTCAAGCCTGAGTTACAGGGCAAAGTGGCCAGAAAGAGTATGAAGACGGAGAAGCGGGGCTGTGTTCTGACAAAACTTGATTCACAAAAACTGGTGGCTGGCTGGATTCGGCCCTCAAGCCTGATTCCTGCTCTAAGTTTTCAACATTCAAAGACTGTCTCCTACAGTATCAGGTCCCTCCAAGCAGCAAACACCTGATCCACACCGACCACGTGCAACCACTGCCGGAGGCACTGGAAACACAGCTGCAAACAGGGTGGGAGGGCTCCCTTCCCAGAGTTTACCTTTACGCTCGGAAGGGAGCTAATGAGTAAGGAAAGAGTTATCAGTATACAGAATAGAGGGTCAGAGAATCATAAATGCTGTCAAGACTGACAGAAGGGTTTGCCACAAATTATACAAGATGAGTTGATAAATGACCTCCCTCTTAGTAACTGTCCACAGAAAAACATGATAATTGAGGCTCAGTTCTTTCTGAGTTTGAGGCAGGCTGAGCAAAAAATATTCCAGCCCACTAAAACTGGTTTCCACACGTTTATGCACACACCTGGCACAGGTAAGTGTCAGTCCCACCTGCCTGTCCTTTGAGTTCTCCGTCTTCTATTCTGCTTACCTTAACTGACACCTTGCAAACGGCAAAGCCTGATGAGATCTAAGGCAAGTTTCCTCCCGGCAGGGGATCTTAAATTAGTACCCACGGGTCCAACTGGTTACTCGGGCCTGTGCCAGATCCGCCCTAACTATTTGTAAATCTGTTAAAACAGTAGCTACAACTTATGGCTAAATTGCTTCCTCCAACAGAAGACAGATGGCTTCAGCAAATTTTAACTTTCTCTGCTGATGAGCCTCCCCACTCCTGAGCAGAGGGCTGTGTTGTGAGCACGCAAGTCCAGCGAAGGAACTGGCAGTCACAAGGATGTGGGGGCGTGAGGCAGGCGAGAAATCTGCAGTGGGGGCTGGATGAGAAGAAGATGAAGCAGATCACAAGCATACCAGCTTTTCCTAAGAATATATGATTTCAGATTTTGAAATTTCTGAAATACAAATTGGGACTCACATTTATAACCAAAACCAAATGGCCAAAAGCAGACTAAAATGGCCAGTATTAACATGTAAATGTGAATTATTTGATCAGAGGAAAGG